ACCTCATTCAATTCAAAGTCTACATAGACACCAAATGTCAATAGTTTATCCAATAAGCCATTACNCTTTTTTCATTCCCTAAGAGAACTATCCAATTAGCTGATGAAAATGAAATTGAGAACAATCTTGTTGAGAAATTAGAACTCTTTACAACTGACAATTCTCTTTGTACCAAAATAACCGAGCTCAATATTGAAGGAATTGAAACATTTGAGTCTTTAATAACATTGGCCGTACGTAAATTTAACAATCTGGAGAAAATTTGCTTTGGGAGAAGTGTTCTCAGGACAAAGATGACAAATTCAAGATCTTACTATTTGGATGAGAATTTTGCAAAAGTTTTTGCAGAAACCAATTATGCTTTGAAACATTTGGAATATTGTGGACCGACTACATTCATAACTAGCGAGTTTGTTACTCACACGCCCAATTTGGAAATTATTAGAATTGAAAGTCGTAATTTCATTAGTGACGTTGGAGATTGTGTTGCTAATTGGAAAAATCTTCAAGTTTTGGATTGTAAATTTGATAGAAACCATTTTGGACACGAGAAGAAGGCAAATGCATATATTTTCTTTACAGCACTTAACACAATACAGACATTACACACTCTGAAACTTGAGGGTTATGCAATATCTGGAGAGGAATTCTTAGGCCTCAAAAATAATCATACTATTCAAGTTTTGAATCTGAGTAGGGCGACAATGAGCGAAGACGTTTTCAATACGATCAGTACTTTCTCCAATCTTAAACATCTTTATGCTGATTCAATCATTGGTAACTCATTAAATTCTCTTGGAAAATTGGCTAATTTATCAAAGCTGGAAATTTTGGATTTGAAACAAAACACAGCTTTTGGTGATGCTGGTTGCGCCATGATTGGAAATGTGAAATCTTTGAGAAAGCTCTATGTAATGAATTTAGGAGAGGATCAAATTCATGACAAGGGGGTAACCGAGTTGAGTTCTTTAACTAATTTGGAAGAATTGGATGTAAGATTTTGTGATATTACTAATAAGGGACTTGTTACTATTGCCAAAGCATGTTCAAAGTTGCAAACAATTCATGTTGGTGGCTGTTCAAAGGTTGATGTCAATTCTCTCCCTCTGGAATTGAGACTGAAAACAAGAAAATAAGTTTACAGCTACAAGAAAACAGACTGGCTATTCTAATGTCAAAGATAATGTAGGAGTTGAGACATTTTTATTTTACAAATTTTCTCACTGAAACTTGATTTCCTTAAAGTATTGGAAAATTGGCTAATTTTTCTAATTCCTTTCAGACAACTGTGGAGATTTCACTTGGAGAATTTCATCAGAAAATATTATCAGAGTTCTCTATTATTTTTCTGAAACGATGGTGTTTTATTTAAGGAATTGTTACTGCAGTAAATTGAATGTTTTTGTAAAATTGCACAAGCCAGCGGCCATCATTCTCTTTTGTACTCTTTTCTCTTTTGATTGTCAATTCTCGCTTTGTCTGTTAATTCAAATTCATAACTCTTGAAATATCGTTTCAAATCATTCAGCAGTGAATTGGTAATGAACTCGTGGTCCATAAACCTTTCAAAATCCTCTTTTGTTCCCTTGTTTATCACTTTGCTACATGATATTTTAGGTATTGCCACAAGGGAGTATTCCTTTTTCTCAAAAGTGATTGTTTGGATGCAATACAATTTGGCAGTGAGTGTCTTGATGAATTGAGCTCTTTCTTCTACATTGTTTGATGAGAAGGTGTCGTCGTTTAAAGCATATTCAACACCAAAAGAACTGTCCACATTGGAAACATCAATACCTTAACATATTTCCTGCTGAAATATCAATGCAACAACCTATCCGAATAATGAGGTTACATAAAACTCCTTACAATATTATAAAAATAGAACAAAAGCAAATTTCATATTTTTTCAAGTGAATTCTTCTATTTTTAACCCCAAAAAAAACAAACAACAATTAAACAAAGAACAATATGGCAGTTATTCACGGCTCATTGGCTAGAAGTGGTAAAGTTAAATGGCAAACACCTCGTGTAGCAAAGACTAGTGATACATCCTATCACGGAGGTTGCTCCAAATACAAACAAAAATCATCAAGTAATTTGGAATATTCTGCCGGAGCTCATCGATTGGAGAGGAATTATACTGCTGAATTGGAACTCTATGATCGTCAGTATAAGGAAAATCATCAACGATGTGATTGGGTTGCAGAGAGAGCGAATATAAAGAGAGCAGAACCTGTTCTTTTGAATTCCTTTCACAAGTTTAATACTGAGAAGGGATTTAATAAGGTGGAATGGAATGCAATTCATCATGAAGAAAGAGCTTTCAAAAAACAGACTAGAAATGGAAGATTCAGATCTGAAGGAAGAAATCATAAAAAGTGGCATAGAAATCATCCAAAAGATGGTATTTATCAGAAGAGAATGGTTGATGTGGATGATTTGGATGATGTTATTGAATTCTCTCACTTGTACGATGAAGAATAATTGAATCATTTGAATGAATTC